GATACGGATCTTTTATTATTAAAAACTGATGGTCATTATGCTGTTAAGCATTATGTAATATTGCATTAAAATAGAAGAAAACACAATTTTGGGTGCTGCTGCCATGATGACCATTATGGGAAAACCATGTTACTTATGATTGTCAAACTTTCAAAAAAGAAACAAAGGACTAAAATGCAGCCTGAGTTGGAAAAGCAGTCTAATTGGCTTCTTTTTCTGGAAGTTATACATTTTAGTGAAATATTCATTTTTATCATGTTGGCATATTCATTGTGGGACTCGAAGCTCCCATGGACATGAAGCCAAATGGTAATCAAATTTTCTACATGTCCATGCTATTTATAGTCAATAATCAAAAATTGGTGATAATTATTCTGTAATTTATTATGTAATGTTACATCAAAATTGACAAAAATCTTTTTGCACTGCTACTACAAACATTATGAAAAGAAAACTATGTTACTTATTATTATTTTCAACTTACAAGTATGATTTGTAGGATTGGCATGCAGTTCAAATTAGAAAGCCAGCTCAAATGGGTTATCATTTATTATTGAATTTAAGCAGTTTTATGTGAAATTTTCATTTTTCTCATTCTGGCATTTTCAAAGTGTGAACTTAAACTCCCATGGGCCTGAAGCCTTATGCTTGTTACACATTTCACTTACATTGGTATTACCTGTTGAGCATAATTAAAATTTGATGTTGAATTTGCAGTAAAGCATAATGTACTTTTGCATCAGAATTGACAGTAGCCTGTTTTGTGCATTGTTATTGTCTGCTTTTTGTCTGTACATTTGACAGCTTTGCTGCCTTGTTTTTTTTTGTTAGTTTACCAAACTTAAGAAATGGAATAGAAGCTGAATCAAATTTTGATTCAGAATGGACCTTTTCTGCTCAAAAGACCCCTTTTTTTCAAACCCGTGACCCACCAGTTTGCCTATGGCCCTGTATCAGTATATCTGTATATGTACCATCAAAACCATCTATGCTTTTTTTTTATTCTTCAGGTGGCCTTGGTTTATTTCAAGAGTTTCTACGCACAGAATTTAGTGAAGAGAATATAGAGTTCTGGATTGCATGTGAGGAGTTCAAGAACACCAAGCTGAGCAAGCTGGCCGACAAAGCACAGAAAGTCTACAGTGATTTTGTTGCTGTCCAGGCACCCAAAGAGGTGAGTGAAAGGAAATCATCCAAGATTTGTGATGCCATATAGGACTTTAAAATGTGCAAGGATATGAAGGTGAACCCTTCAACAAAAATTATGAAGCCTTTATGTGCTGGACAGTACAAAGTTGCATGCAAAACATGGTTAATTTATTACGTCATGCAATAGACTAATTCAACAGAAAACAACCAGAAAAAGATCTATGGATTAGTTCTGTCAGCTTTTATTCATTGTCATACCACAATCACTAATGTCACATTGTTTCTGACCCCACTCTCCTCTAAATCCCATGAAATTCAATGCCAATTTCAAAGGAAACTTCATCACAATACAGTAGGTATGGAACCGATGTTTACATCTATATGAAAATATGGTGAAATTTGTTAAATTAAATGGTTTCAACTCTTTATTTTGCAGATCAACCTGGACTCAAAAACTCGCCTTGCAACTTTACACACTATCCGCCATCCTGACCGTCATGCATTTGACGCTGCACAGAAACGCATTCAGGGATTGATGGAGAAGGACTCGTACCCACGATTTTTGCAGTCACAGATGTACAAGCAGCTGATCTCATGATGATTTGACAGTGTGTGGGAGTTGTGACTTGTAATGTTAGTGCATTTACGGGGAATGGCCAACCCTGAAAAGGGGTATTCACCATGACACTGAATACGGATTTCTCAGCTCTGTATCACACTGTTCTTTTGGGAGTTGCTAATGGCTCAATTTACTTTCACAAAATCATACAGACTGTAAATTGGGAGCCCCAGTTACTATACTAATAATTCTGCAGTTATCAGCAGCTCAATTTACATATTAAGGTAATTTTTACACAAGAAGGTCCATATGGATAATATTATTGCCATTGACAAGAAAAGTCAACCTTCAGGTTAAAATATGTGTTTCACTCTGAATTTTGAATAAACGTTATGTCCATGGGCACAAAGTCACAGATTACAAGACTTGGTAATATTTACAGTCGCAGAACTCGAATTTATTAAAAAATATATAAAAGCAGTTCTGAGTGACTTTTACAAGTGAAATACACTTGTATGTCTTTAACTTTTGCTGTGCAAAGTACAGTGGCATACCACAAAGGAAAAAGAAAAGCATTTGTGTTGCAGAAAATGCATCATTTATTGGAAAGTACAATGTGTACTTTAGCAAGCATGACAAGGGGGGTGTCTTTACGTTAAGAGTGCCGTTTGGTTTGTATGATAACAGTCATATTTGTATAACCAAAAGTTATATAATAATGTTTTCTAGAACAAACAAAAATGATTTCTAGGAAGATGAGTTTCTTCCTACCAATGGTGCCAATGGCCAATGTAATGTAACAAAAATATATTGTTTGCTTACAATGAGCAAGTAATTTTTCACAACTATAGTATTAATAATTTTATCATGTGTGTTATTTTGTGTGAATTATAGACCATAATGTACAAAGTTACTTCATACTTATATTGTTGCATGAGATGGATTAGAAGGAATTGGCCTTTTCATTAAAAGCAGACATGAGATTTGAGAAGTTGGCCAGAATCCTGTGACCTCAAACTTGGTGCAAGCTATATTTTGATAACTATTAATTGTTGCTTATGTCCTGAATGAAGAAAAGGATCATTCTAGTTGTTAAAGAGACTATGTACATTTGCTACACGCCATATATATATATAAATGAATATATATATATATATATATATATATATATATATATATATATATATATATATATATATTTGGCTTT